ACGAAACAGCCTGAGAGACGTCTTCCTCTTTTTTCTTTTTTTATGATCACCTTTTCTTCCTGGTTCTCATGCACTGATACACAGCTACAAACATTATTTGCATTGCCAATTGCAGGGAAGTCTGTTTTTTTTTAAAAAAAAAAAAAAACAACCCACCACATCATACAATTAAAATTTCAGTTTGTGGCCTTTACTAATTAATGGTACTCTTTTAAATAAGAATATTACCATTTCCTTATTACACTTCTCAAGCAAGATCTCCTCTGAAAATAAACAGGTGAAAATTCTGTGGAAGAAGCGTATGAGCAGGCACTAGAAAAAAACAGCCACATATTGCAGCATTGTTAACCAGCTACTGAAAATTACAGCTTCATCTCCTGCTCACAGCCAGACCTACATATATTTGGACTCTTGCTTTCATTACAAATGCAGTGGCTCTAGGTCTGTGCCAGGTAAGAGAGATGAGAATCTGGCTCACGGTCTGCATTTCTAACTCTTCACAGAACAAGAGAGTCCAAACATATTTTAGTTCTTTATAGCTGCTCCTCATAGACGACTAAAGATCTTTATCACAATAAAACCAGAAGGCACTGCCATAGAGTGTAATTACATGCTACTATAGCTGGCTGTTGTCTTCCAGAAATAGGAAACGGTTTGAAAAATGCATGGTTTCTGCTTGGGCCATACTCCGAGTTCCTTAAATAAAATGCTACCCCTAATCCCTGTGTAGACAAAGTGTGACCTCTGGTAATGTAGGGCTGAACAAATCTTGAGTGGGCTCCAAGATGTGGCTTGACAGGGGTCAGCGTTCTGCACTGGCGATTAGCAGTGTGTCACCACAGCAGAAAACCTGGTTTTAGCCCTGCTCTCTCTTCACACCACCCAGAAGTTCATGTCCCAGGGACAGGGAAGGCCTTAGTTTGTTCAGATTATTTCTCACTCTTCTTTAGTCATTTAAGAATCCAAAACTTCAAAGCAGCGTGGCCTACGGAGTTCTTCCTTTTGGACGGCAGACCGCCACCGCAAAAAAAACCCCAGAGATAACACTCGGCACCACGCCAAGAGAGGACAACTTACTGTTCCACAACCCCCTGGCAAAGGGACGACGACGGGGTTTACGTATCCGCAGCTGCATCTGTGCTCAGCAGCCAGCTGGGAGAAACGTGCTGTCTGGTCCGGAGGTACGTAAACCGTCCGTCAGCCATCGGGACAAGCAGGTTTCAAATATCCCCCTGGTCCCACATTCCGGATTCCTTCAAGAGGCCTAAATTAGGGTCGTTGTACACATCCTGGTGAAGTCAAACATTTTGGCAAACGAATCGCTATCGGGCAGAGGCTTCTTGTGAAAATGGGACTCTTAGTCTACAAGAAAAAGGCAGGTTCTTGCTTCTTCTGTGAAGTATTTGTAAAAAAAAAGAAATTAAAAAAAGGTGCCTACTGGAACGTAATTGTTGCACAAAGTAATTATCAATAGATTAGAAGAAAGCACAGGATACTCAAAAAAGCTCAATAAAGATGAGTAAATGTGATCTGGAAGAGATGCCTATGAATCATACGCTGCTTCTCTATGACCATAAAATAATAATGGTTCATGCATTTTACTACAAAACTTTCTGCTGAAGACGTCGCAGATCTTCATAAACATTAATTTCACCTCACAACCTTTCCAGGATGGGAAAAACCATCTCCATACGGAAAAGCTCAGGGAGGAGAAACGTGCCATTCACCTCCTGCAACACAAGGAGGCTGCAGCAAAGCTGGGAACAGAACACAGACCCTTGTCTCCCATTTTGTACACGAACCGCAAGATCATCAAATGTCACCCATTTATTCCATCTCCTCACGAAAACTGAAAAACCAAAAACCCCAACATTTCTGGTCATTACTTCTGCTTCTTTTCTCAGTATTTTTTTTTTTTTTTGACAGCGAGCTGCAGCACAACTGACAGCCCCAACTGCTTTTAGGAAGGGTAGACAGGAGCGACGCAGCACAACGGGGGCACAACATAAGGATGGATGCGTCTTCTGCGGACTTAGTTAAATGTCTTGCCCATTACACTTTATCCACGGTGAAGTGCAATTTAAGGTGAGTGAACACGTTTCTTCCCTAAACCCCAGAATTTCACAGTCTTCAAGCAACCGTTTTGCGGCACAGAACCATGCGCGCTGTTGGCACATCAACGCACAGAAGAAACTGTGACTCAATTTTAAAGGGAAATATTATTTGCCACTTCAGAAATCATTCAGATTATTAAAGGCACGCTCTTGCAAAAAGCACATCAATGTAACTAAAGCCCACCCCTCCACAGCCTGGGTTATTCACGTGTTTTAAGTTGCTCCCTGTCCTTCCTCCAGGGATCTTTTACTTTAGTAAGAGTTCTCTCTCTCCACTCTGTGCTTTTCCCACTCCAGTACTTGCCTCTCTCCTCATCTTGCTTTCTTGCCATTTCTAGTCTCTTCCCCTCCTTTCTTTACAGTCATTTCCATTTTCTTTGAAATGTTTTGGCATTTAATGCTGGCTTTATTCTTCCTTCTCCATCTGCTGCTCTTGTCTCTCTAAATCTTTTCTGGAGCCTTCTCTCGGGAAGAAGCTCCATTTATTTCCATTTATTGCCTCTTCTTTCTGGATTTCAGGTCCCTCCTTTTTCTTTGTGGTCTTGGAATCAAGCAATCCTCCTCCTCTTCCTCAAAGTAGATACATCAGCTACAATGTCTCCTTACCAGCCCCACAATCGCCGGTACGGTAACCTACTGTACCTGCCACTCCCTCTAAACACCAGTATCTCAGGGAAGGTACTAAGTCTTTGGCATTTCTCCTCTACATGACAAGAGCAATACTACAAAAAGCAAAATTACTGGTAGGTTTTACTCCTCTGCCTTGTGCTCAACATTCGTGGAATCTTCTGCCCATGGAGACCTGCTCCACCAGCTAAAATCCAATTTTAAAGGGAGTTTCCCCCTCCCTAAGGGTTTTCTTCTCTTTAAAATCTTCTATTTCATTACCAGGGCTTAAGGGAACAAAGCAGAAATAACTAAGCTTAACTCCTGACACTGCCTTTACACACATCTCCCCTATACTACCTTTCCAACATTATTTCAATTTGAGACTCAAAGGCTCAACTTTAAGATGTATCTTCCTAAGTCCGTTTGCTTGGTCTCTGTTCCCAGGCAAGGGAAGGAGCTGCAGCACGTGCGACGACCCGCACGACAAACTCTTTTTGGGGAACACGCAGCCGTATCTGCGCGTGCACCTTTGAGCAAAAACATAAGACAAACCGATCACAGATGAAGCAAAGTAAATGCAAAGAAGGTGATGAAAGGATTTCTTCTGTTACACAATTTTTTAGTTTCAAACTTCAATCTAAAGCCTTTCTGAGAAAGTTTTCCTCGTGTTTGTTATTAGTCGATGCATTTAATTGTTTGTTATTGTAATTAAGCACTGGGAATGAGGCTAAAGGAAAATCAACACCAGAAAGTTTAAAAAACAAAACTTGCCGACAGCGAGATGGATTTTGCAGAGGGCTAAAAGTTAAGTCAGAAAAAATAAAAATCTTTTACAGGTTTGGTTACGCTGCACCGAAATAAAAATATAAAGAAATGAACCATTTATGAAGGATTCCAAAATAAAGCAAACTGTTACATTAGCAAACGCTGAAGCTTATAAAAGCCTCAAAACACCAAGATCCGCCCCTCTAGCACACGCTCAAAAGAGAGAGCACAAGAGTCAGTTGTTTCTTAGTTTTGTTTTACACATTTCCCACACCAGCTTTCCTCTGCTCACAGAGAATTTGCTTTATTCACTGCCTCGAGTAGACTTGACTGAGAAATGAACAGGAGCCGATCAAAGCACTGGAGCAGAGAATCCACCACCTATTCCTCTCAAGGTTTTCCACTGTTGTTTTTAAACAAATAGATGTTTTAAACACAAAGCATATCCCCCATGGGTTTATCACAAGCTAAAAGGGAAATACGTATTTAACAGGACACAATCCATCTGAAACGTGCTCAGCTAAAAAGCCAAAAAGAAAGCGAGAAGGAACACGATATGCTCATTTTGCCCCACTCTCCTCTGGCAGTTGGATGTTTAGGGTCTCCTATTTTCCATTTGAAAACAGCAAATTCTCGTGGCTACAAGCAAGAATATGCGAAGCCAGGACAAGTGCACCAGCACCAAGAGTGAGAAGAGGGAAAATAATCTGCTCAATTATTTGAAAGTTATTTACAAAGAAAGCCACAACAACAGATTTTCAGATAGAAGACTGATTTAAGCTGACCAACCCTTTCAACATTTCTAAAGAAATTATGTATTATAAAACTAATTCAGTGAAAAATGAAAGTAAAAATAGAAGCAATGAGACATCTTCTAAATAAGCAAAGCTGCTTTTGCAGCATGCTGAATAACTGGAGTGTGGTAAACATACCACTGTTATTTATAACATCCAGCCTTTTGAAATTATTCTGTAGTTAATTATTTCAAATTCTTTACAAGCATTTATGAAGCAAGCCCGCAAAGTGAAGACAATTACTTTCACATATATAGGAGGAAAAATGAAGATACAGGGACAGAAAACAACCCTCCAAAGTTACAGCGGCACACTTGTACAGAGGATTCAGGAGGTCTCATAGTGTGAGAGAAAAAACATCCTCTCATCCAGATGCAAGTGCTTACCAAGTGACCAGTTTGTAGGGTTTACACATAATTTCATTTCACAAAAAATGTTGCATCAGCATTTTTAGATTTAACCATAAGGAGTAAATGACCAAGACATATCAAAAGTTTTACAATGATGAGTGTAAAATGGGAACTCTACCGATTTCTCCCTGCTGAGGCACATTTATGTTCTGCTTCAACACCTAATCATAAACCCATTAAAAATACCATATCATGTTGAGAATGCCAGCAGCTGCCGAAGTATCATACACAGCACTTTGTCAGATGACAGACAAACAAACGCCGAGACCTGGCACAACAATGATCAGTAAGTAATCATGTCTCATTACCTTTGTGGTCTTCTTGGGCCAGCTGACCACAGGGACACCCGAAATGGCAAGATTTTGGTCATCATCAGCGTGTTCCTTCAGTATGTTCTGTTGCAAACGAAAAGACCGTTATTAACCAGAGAAATATTTCTCCAACTGAGGCGTGCAGAGACTTACAGAAGACAATACTCCACTCTGACGGAAGCTAGAGTGACAAAAACTCTGCCAACTTGTTACATCTCTGCAAATTACTTTTGCTTCCCAACTTCTAATTCACACTGAAACTCTCACACCTGTCATTAAGATTCAAGATGTGCAAAACAGAGAGCAGAATCAGGCACGAATCAGCTCTAATATTGCAGAATTCTTTAAAATTGGCATGTCCAAAAGAGTGGTGTTTTTTTCCACTGGTATCCAATACCAGCGGCACCTCTCCTTTTAAACTCCAGCTCACTAAGTCTCAAACGACCCCATCAGTCACAATAACGAACTAATCAAGTCTACAAAAGCCCCGAGAGGCACCTACGCTCTGCCACCAAAACTTCTGCAGTCACAGGGCATCAAGTGTGTAGTTCAGAGCAATCCCCAGACGCCTGAACACCCAGGCAGGCCAAAATACAGAAACAGGCACTGTGGCTTTTTGTCTCATTGCATGCGGCGGTTCAAGAGCACTGTCTCTTCCACCGACCTTCCTTCCACACTCGTGCGATCAGACGAGGCGTTCGTGTTCCTGAGTATTCACTAGGAAAGGAGCTGACTCTAGACAGCACAGTATTAAGGAAAAAACATTGGTCTCCCCTCCCTTCCACCCCCACCAAATCCTTTTGCTTTGATGCACTGTCCTAGAAATTTCCTGAGTGGGTTGCAGTGGCTCACACAGCTTCTACCGCTGTGAGTCACTCCCATGACCAGATAACTCAACACAGAGGTGGGGAAGAAGTCTTTCTAACCACACTCAGTGTGCAGCTGTGAAACAGTCCACGATCCCTTCCCATGACTCTCTACGTACTTACTAACCGAGCTACAAAGCCCTGCGTCTGGAGTTCAGGTAGCTGAAAAAGGCCACAAATGAAAACAAAAAAAAATGAGTTGAAGAGAGGATTCTGCTGCGCTGCTGAAAACTGAAGCCTAAATCAGAAGTCAGATTAAAGGGAAAAAAAGTGCTACAATAAAACAAACAAGAACTAAGGGTTCAAAATTACCTTGTAATAGAATTTAGGAGATAACCCCAGACAATGAAGTTCAACAGTGTTGCTCCCAAGTACACCAACTTCTTAGAAAAAAAGCTTAATTAGACAGCAACAGGCACCAGGCTCTGTCAGCCCCAGCGGAGACCTTTAACGATTAGAAATTTCATACACTATACGAAAAGAGCTTAAAATGCAGTAATTGTTTTAATAGGAAGTGCACTTGGAATTCATCAGTAATCATCCAGCTAAAGCCTGGAGCACGACGGCATGTTCCAGGTTCCCGAGAGCCTGAGCAGGCACACTCGCATCGCAACGAGGGGTCAGACTAGTGTCCCTGGGGTCAGATGTGCGTCCCTGGAGCTGAGGCAACCTGCCAGATTCCGCCCAATTCCCCAGCCCGTGCTGAAATGAGAGGCGCTTTCCTAAGAGACAGTACAGCAGCAGCACCCCACTGCTTCTTCAGATACGATCACACCAGTAGGGCTCTTCTCGGTGCTGGTTAGTCCGAAAGCGGCGCCAATGACCAAAATGAGCAATACCAGTACAAGCCCAGTTTCGTCAGCCCTGTGGCTGCGCTGAGGAGCTTGCACAGGCACAGCCTGGCTGGTGAGGAGTAAAACACAGCTTGCCCCAACCTGACTGCGATGAAGAGTCTGCAGCGTATCTCCAGCGTACCCTTGGAGTGAAACAGTGAACAATTTTCACCTAAGGGCCAGTCATCGGTAGACTAACTCTTGGCTGAGCTGAAGTTAAGCGAGCATCTCTTCTCTCACGTCCTTTTTATTTTGAGAGAGTGATCGCTGCATGAACTGAACTGTGACCGCATACCAAAAGTTAATTTAATACCCTAAAAATCGAGAGGTCTTTTGTATTCTCATAGCAAAGCCAAAATTCTCCAGAATAAGGTGGCAGCTTGAGAGCTGTATAAACAAAGGGCAGATTAATCCCTCTTTACTTTGCTACTCTCAGATTTGAAAGCTTGTAAGACAGAAGACCTTAACGTTTCCACTAACGACTGTCAGAGACTGAGTTCAATAGAAAGCAGAATATATTCCAAGAACTTGGCAAGATAATGAAGGTTTCTTGTTATCGCATGTATCACGTGGAAATACTATCCAAGAAGAAATGTAAAACTGTGGCAGTTTATCATCTCAGCCAGCTGAAAACAATGGATGTCTAGCAGCAGAACCATAACCAAGGCATAGTTGCACTGACTGTAGTGTCAAGAGCCAATGCACAACTGACTGGAGACAGATTTTTGTGCACCTGCTTAAAAAAAAAACAGGAAAAAAAAAAGAAGAAAAAAAAGAAGATAAAGAAAAGCCATGGGGCTCCAGTTAGACAAACAATGTGATGCTCATCCAGCACAATGCTGCCCGATTCATTACGCTTGAAGGCTCTGGTGACAACAGCAGGTACGAAGGAAATAAAATAATTAAGTATGAATTCAGCTTAGCCATTAATTTCCAAAGCCCAGCACGGAACGACTCTCCTGAAAGGCACTCAGTAGAGGGAGTTTTTTCCCTGTCATCAGAATGAGAAGGGGGTAAGATTTCTTGGCAAGAAAAAGTAAGAACATATTTCAGTAGATATCATCTGTCTTGCAGAAGAATCTTCTCCTGCTGCCAAGGAGTTGTGGGTATTTGACAAACTCTGCTCCTCAAACTGAGTTTCTTCTGCCCTAATGGACTTCCACGGTCCCTTCTGAAGAAGAGCAGCATTTTTGCTTTAAAGTGGGGAAGGTCTGTGGCATTCCGGGGAGGCAGATCTCACAATCCTCTTCCCCAACAGCAGCAAAGGAGTTACCTTCCTGCCGGCAACACAACAGAAACGTGCGCTGAAATCAGAGGCTGCACACAGACAAGTATCGCTGTCAGTGTTTTACGTGGGACGCAGACTGTCACAATCGAAAGTCTGCTCAGCTCTACTTGTCCCGTGATGTGAGGTGCAGACTACACCGAGGGGTAGAATGGTTACCTCTCTATTCTCTTCTTCATGTGTAAGTCCACCTCAACTGTATCTGTAAGTAAGCCAACATACTGTTTGGTAGCTAAAGATGAAGTGGAAAAGCCACACAAAGAAACTCTTCCAATACCCAAAGCCACCATCTGAAGTAAAATTACTTCCCAGTGATTTTTTTTTCCCTCCCTATCTTCCTCATGGGGCTAGGTACTTTTGTAAGAGTTCAGCTGCTACTTAATTTTTAAATTGGGAGCCGGAGCTCTTGCACTGTTTCACATTTCATTTCAGAGCACGTACATAGGGCCTGTGAGCCGCTCCTTTGGTGGTGAGCACAAGGCTCGTACGTGATACAGCGCCCAGACAGCAAAGCTGCAGCCGACCAGAATTTAATTCCTCGTTTGAGCTGAGGGAAGAACTGACCCCACTCCCCAAGTGAGGCCCGTGTTGTGCTCTGCAAATAAGGCTCCCTTATACTGCTGCACTCCATCGATCATGGTGATAAATGGGTTCTCAATCTGCAGAGGCATTAGCTGGGCACTGCTGGATTGCTGTGTCCCCACTAGACAGTCGCAGTTAGTTAGGAGCTTAGATGACGTGTAAGGAATTTACACAGGCTTAGTTTAGTTTTCAGCCTCCCTTCTCATAAGGAAAATAAATTACTTTACTTCAAAGAGTCTCACCTACTTGACATTAAATAGCTGTATATGGCTGTAGTTGTATTTACCACTAAGAGCAGTAATCCAGTCACCCATTCTTTACTATATCCTTGCTCACATGGGAAAGCAGGGGTTCTTTGCCAGTTACCTGGATTTGTTCTATGAAACTTCACATCACTGAATAAAATGCCTTCCTTTCTCCAGTTTAACTATCCATATCCCATTTGCTGAAAACATCATCTTACCGCATCACAAAGACAGACTTGAATGTCACACAGAAAAGTTCCTGGGTGTATTGCATGCTGAAATAAAATTGCTACGATAAACAGATTTATTTTCTTCAGAAAGAAGTTTGCTTAAGACTTTCCAAACAGACCAAGGGCTTTCTTGCTATGCATTTGTTAAAAATAACTCTCAAATGGCTACAGTAAAAGGGTGCTTTTTATCAGATGTATTATTAATACATCACATGCCCAAAGGTCAGGTTGTCCATGATATAAACCTTTTGAATATAGCCAAATACAGTCACAGCACTTAGGATCCTCGCAGCTTCTTCTGCAGCAATTCTGCCTCTGTTCAGTCACATAGACGACCAGTGCTCCGGATTTTCACCAGGGTGAGGCAGAGGTGCCAGAGTAACACACACCGAAGAGAGACACTGAACAGCTGTGTTCTGCGCACCGAGCAAGACGGGAATCCTGCAAGGGCCATTACGTTAGCTGTCTGCTCAAGGAGCTGAAATCAGTCACTCGCCAGCTTCTCCATCAGCATGCTCCCTCCCTTGAAGGCAGAAGCCCTAAACTTACACTGACACACTTGGCTTTTCCTGTTTTTAAAGTCAATAAACCGAATAAACCAAACTTCACGCTTTGGTATCACAAGGGTAACAAAGAGACAGGATGCTTCGGCTCCTCTACGTTTCTCTACCACGTCAACAAACTCAGTGGCAGAAAGGACAGAGGGGTTGTGGCATCCAGGGTCCCAACACTTGCTGGGAATGGGACACACCTGGTCAGCGGCTGCTTCGGACAATTTGCTGATGAGCAAAGGGAAGGCCTGTGTGGGGAGTCCTGGGCTCCACTCCTGATGGGAGAGGAAGCCACCATTGATCCAAGAACATCTCCTCACAGCTGCTCCAATTCCTTGAGAACATCCAGCAAAGGATCATGTCACTGTAGGGAGAGTTATGGAGGAAGCAGACTCTATGGGCTTTAATTAAATTGATACACTGCATCAACTCCCATTCTCTGAAAATTGAGGACTGCCTTATACGTGCACCCATACTGTAAGAAAGATGAGTAATAAAGTTCTTTAACACTTCTTTAGACACTGTTCAAGAAAATGTCTGAGTTAATATCCTTTTAAAAGTTCTTGCTTTGACTAATCAGTCACAGGCTCACCAAACATACTGAGGTGATTCCAGAAAAAAACAATCCTGCAGCATGCATGATGTTTAGATGTGGTCACGGGCTCTTCAACCAGCAGGGAACCATAAAATCCAGATGTTGGGCTACATCCTGATGGCTACAGTGTGTGCTGGCAAGGAGAGAAAGTTTAGGAGCAGGCAGTTATCAGGAGATGGAACATTGAGGCTGCAACTCTACAAGATGCCCAAAATAAACTGGCAGATACACACTTAATACCAGTCAAAGCAGAATTTTACCAAGAAGGGCATGACTTGTGCTTTACTTCAATGTCCATTCGCAGTTCTCCATCTCTGTAGCTAACGAATCCACTTCTCCAGAGAGGAGGAGGAAATCGCATACTCCTGCACGGTGCTTTAAACCAGATTCACATATGGCATCTTGCCGTGTTCTAGTAAGATGTCTCACAGTGCAACGGAGGTGTCATCAAAGGGGCACGCATAATCACATTCTGAACATCTGCACCATCTATTACGTGTTGTACCCTTCCTGGGATTTCAAGAAGAGGCAGTTTATTTTTAAGGAAAACTTGGTCTGTGCATCAAGCTTAGAAAAAGAATGCCACGGCTCTTTCTCCTTCCCCACAAATTCAACTCCTGGTCTCGAAGCCTCATTTTGCTTTCTGATTAAAGACGACTGATCGCAAAGCAAGCAAATGAATCTACAGCCACGACTTTGGGCCTGCGTGTCCACTTTGATATACAAAGTGGCTGCTCTTGCAAGAAGAGATTTTCTGAGCTCTCGTCGCTTACCAAAATGAGTGCCGTGTATCACACTTCCAGGCTCCAAGATTGTGGAATATGGTTCCACTGCACACTGCATATGTTCAGCCTTCTTTAACTGGCTTTGAAGCCTTTTCTAAGCAGCTGTTACACTACTTGCACTACAAAAGTACAGGCTCCTCTTTTACCATATAAACACGTTATTTTTCCTCTCAGATTGTGGCTTACACAGCTCTCGTGTATAGAACATATGTAGCTGAAGAACCATATCGTAATGCAGAAACAGCACAAAACTAGTAGTCCCAACACAGGACCACAAATCAGAACTCGAAGCTCCGGATCAGGCCAAGCTGCCACGGTACCGGACCTGCGGATGGCAGGCTGACAGCTGGAGCCTTACTTAACAAGTACCAGCAAAATTACAAGAGTATGCTGCTCTCAGCCTTGTTAAAAAGAGTAAATGTGAAAACAAGACACAGGAAAGCTAACTGAGTAGTCCCAAGAGATGCCATGGATCAGAGGCAGGGCTGGGACTAGAAGCATCAAGGCCATGCCGAGGAGGAACTTATCCCTAAGTCAGACTGGGTACCACCTCCAGGATACTAAAAATCTAAAGAGAAGCTCGGTCACTAGCGAGCATTCAGTCCTCACACCGTCTCCAAAATCATTATATTGTACCAGTGGAGAATAACTATCAACCTATAGAGGGCAATGGAGGAAAAGAAAATGAAAAAGGTGAAAGAAAGAAAAAAAAAAAGAGCAGCTGAAAATGTTAGACAACATATCTTCTGAATTTCAGTCAAGTATTCACATTTTGTACATATCAGTTAATCAGATATACTCCAAAAAGACACTATATCAGAAAGAGCAGGTTAAGCCTATAAATATAAACGGACCTTCTGAGGTACAGTATTTACACATGGAACACAGCAAGCACTGAACTGCAAGAAGATCTAAACTTCAGGGCACCCGACTGCAAGCAGCCATCTCCCCCGAGTAGAGATGCCCTTTGCTAGAGGCATAATTTCCCTCGCTGAGGCATAGCAGGCTGCTGTGAGCTGGTCACTACACACAAGCTGCCATCCCTCTGCTGCAGAACTTGCTTTCCGATCTCCTGCCATCTTCTATGCCAACAGAACACAGCTTGTGTGGATCAGCAAGTTATCATACCCACCTTCATGTCCTCCAGGAGAGCCTGTGGATCTTCGATGCCTTCCGGAACACACTTCTTGTTCTCTGGGAGAGATTCAAGCTTTTCCACCAGGGCTTTTAAACCCTTCAGTTCAAATTCTGTGAGATGAGTCCATTTGGTTGAAACTTCTGTAGCTGGAGACCCCGTTGGTGTTTTGGGAAAGTCCGTGGGGGTCGTTGATTTTACACTGTCATCTGATTCATTAGACAAAGTTCTTTTTAGGTACCTCATCACTGTGGCTTTTTGTTTTCTTCCTGTGCCCTCCTTCCCTTCTGAGTGTGTGCTGTTGGGTGAGGAGGAGCCATCCACCAAGGATTTGGAGTTCTTATCCAAGCTGTCATCCTTCTCCTCATGGATATGGGCATCACAAGATTCTTCATCCATGTCTAACCACGAATCCGATGAATAGCTGTCTGTGCTGCGTTTTCTCTTTGCATCTGCAAGTTAGAAAAAGAATGTTGAATTTTTACCCAGTATCATTCATCGCTTTAACGCTTCTCTAGCAGTGAGGCTAGGTGCTGCCTATTTAAAAGGGCACTGGATAATGCCTAGTAACTCTGTGACCAGAATGGGCTCTATTTGGCTGATTTTTAATTTGGGAGGTGTGTGTGTTTGTTTTAATGCTGGTTTTCATTAACATCTACTCAGTTCAAATGACTGGGAAACATTTAAGGAAAAATTATGCCTTCTTCAAAGCTTCAGTCCTCTATGCCTTCAATTAAGAGTAGGCAGAGCTCTTAAGTCACACACAATTAATTTTCCCGCAAATCCGAAAGAGACCAGATTCGGCAGCCTTACAGCTCACAGTGGAGAGTTAGAGCAGAGAGAGGGAGGGAGAAACGATGGGAGATAGCACGTTAAAATGCTGGGCACCATCACGCTTCCAGGAACCCTGCACAGCACAAAATCAACTTCTCAATATCTTTCCTCTTGGTAAAACAACAGTCCCTGCTCATTACTGCATGAACATCCACTGCTCTTCTGAGGCAGAGGATGACAACGATGCTTATTTTACAGACCAAACACACTGAGAAATGCAAGGATTGCCCCAGAGTTATGCGATGGCATTTTTGTTAATGCCATCCCCGGTACAAACTGGGTACTTCTCCAGAAAATTAGAAGGCAAGTTTCTGAGTCTAAAGAACTATTAATCTCAGTTTTGTACTAGGTTTCCCCCCCCCCAAAATCTCAACCGTTACCCAACTCTGTGCAGTGAAAGCAATGCAGGAAACCAGTGGCCAAGGTTCCCTAAAGCACACTTCTTATTTATTAGACACAATTTCCTTTACTAAGTGAAGAGCACTGAATGTGCTAGAAAGAGCAGGAATTTCTGTTGAAAATACAGTTAACACCAGCAACACCCAGTTAAGTCAATGTGAATTTTAATACTGGCTGAAATGGGTATGAGATCAAGCTGCAAACAAAACCGTGCTGCAAAGGAAACAGAAGCCACACAGAAAAAGTGAGCGAGCAATTAATGAAAAGTTTCTTTCACAGCTTTCATGCTTTGCAATGCGGTAGCTTTGGATTAGGACAATGTGAATTATGCTTAAGGAAGGATTAAACTGACATTAATGAAAAAGCCCAGCATCCGGCTGTTTGACTCTGAGGTTCAAAACGAATGCTGAAGCCCTGTCCTAAGCTGGCAAACTCATCCTTATCACAGAGAAGCTCCTTGCCTCTTGCACAGTCTGCACCATCTTCTCACAAAACAGACACGTTACTTGTCAGCTGGGTAATGAAGATGCAACAGGCAGAGGGCAGCTTGTCCTGCTCCTTAGCTTTGCCTTTTCCAATAAAAACTCTCTATGGCCAGATACCCGTCTGTGTGCTAGTGCCTGAGAGCCAGGAGACGGCCTCTTTATACTTCTCAGGGCAAGCGTGCCGCTGCTACTGTGTGTGCAAAAATCAAGCATCTCTGTCCAGTCTCCTTCAGTCACGTTTGCGTTTTTTCTCGGAACCAAAACAGCCAAAAAATTACGCCTGGGAAAAGATGGCAGTCACAAAAAGTACCAGCTACCGGCAAGGCTGGTCGCAGCCAAATCCAGCTCCGTGCACAGCGCAGGCTAACGTCCACCCCGCATCCCTGCAGAAAAAGCTTTGCCACAAAGAAGTACAGCACGGTTTATTTTGTGGGCTGAGGTGGTGGCATGCAACACTCCAAAGCAGCTCCTCCTCTCTGGTCTGTGCTAATACACTCCCATGCTTCTCTTAGAAAAATAAACAGGATTAGAAAATAACTTAACCAGAACATTTAAAAACCACCACATTATCCAACTTTTATTTAACGCTGTTTTTCCCTTTGTCCACAGTAGCTAGCACACTTATCCGCCTCAAAGGGCTATATAATCAGCTTATGTCATTCTCCCATTTTACAGCTGAGGAAACAGATGCTTGGGAGAAAGCACGATTTGCTCATTATCACACATCAAATCTAGGGCAAAACCGGGAATCAGAATCCAGGCTCTTGGATCCAGGGCTGGAGCCCCTTCTCCAAGTCCCACGGCCTCGGTGAGCTATTTTACAATTGACTGCAGCACAAAACCCCAGCCTAGACAGGAGAAGATGCCAGCCACAAAACATAAGAAGGTGAAAGCAGATACACATCCCTGTGCTACCGGTACAGCGTCATTAACAGAAATTGGTTTAAATCCACACAAAGAAAATCATGTTTCTGTTTTCTTGCGCTGCGGCTCTGCTGAACAGGAACTAATGGCTGTAACTGGGGCAAATCACAAGCGCAGATAAGGCCTAAAGGAAGCGAGGGAGATTGCCTTGTGGAGGTGTGAATAATTTACTCCAAGCAACGCTCCGGTGCTAAGAGAAAGCCCTCCAAGAGCGATCTCCACTTTTTGCCTCTTGCTCTAATCTAGGGAAACAAAAGGCAAGCGAGGAGTGGAACACCCCGGCGTAGCGGGCGCCTGTTCCCATCAGAAGGGAGCACCCGGGGGGGCCGGTGGTGCCGTTCTGCCAGCTGCCACCGCTTCCCTGCCACCGGCTGTCCGCAGAGACAGACCCCACCGTGCCAGCGACACCCAGGCATGGACACACAAAACCCAATCTCAACCAAACCTCAGAACGAACCACCCCCACACAAACACCCGGTGGCCTGTCCTCAGCAAGCCCAGCAGTTACAGATGCTTTGCCTAATTTTACCTTTGGGGACAGGGCTTGCTACTAACCTCAAGTGTATCAATCTATTCTGGAGCACCAGGGGATTACAGCGCTGTTGCACCATCAGATTAAGAGTGGATTGCTTTCAAAAGACAACTGTCTGCTACTGCTGCTAATTAAAAAAAAAAAAAAAAAAAGAGCCAAGGGAATCAACGATGGAAGGGTAACTTCAAGATGAGGAAGGTTCAATTTTGTGTTTTCAAGTGTTTTGTTGTAATGCAAGATGCTATGATTTTTATTTATTCATTTTAACAAAAACTGTATCTGACAGGGTTACTATCCTGTGAGCTGAGGCCCTACATAAGCATAATCTGCATTTACCCTGTTGAGAAATGTATTTTAAGTGCTGTATTACCAGGGTTCTACTGACTCGAAGGCTTTGAGTTCATAAATTCTCTCCACAGAAAACAGCTCCTGCTAAATGCAACTCTGGTTTCTTCTGAGTCAACGCACCAGCCCATAACCAGTTTTGGAGTGGTTATCCAGTCTGGGCTCCCACAGTGCAAAAAGATCTTCAACCCTTCTCCATCTCAAAGCAAACAAAATCAGGTTATACAAACCAGACAGCTATAGAATTCAGTGAAGAGGAAGAGCAGCACAGGCTGGGCCACAGGACAGAGAGCTCGAAATATCTTTTTTTCTACAGCAGTTCAGTTCCACCTAGTTCTGAGCAAATCACTTTTAACCTTCCCCACAGTTATCCACTTGTACGAGAAGGATAATTATACGGTTTCTTTTCCTGC